AGTGTCATCTGAAAGGAGAAAAATAACCATATGCGTAAAGTGAGTAGATATACAAAATAATTATTTTTTATTTATGTTACCGTATTCTTATGAATTTGATATATCTATATTATTTTTTATAAATTAAATTGCGTTTCTTCGACAAAGTCGCACAAAATTATTGGTCAATACGTCTATTACTCTGTTGCTTATGTGTTTAATTTTTTTACATATAAACCGTTTTTATATACAGGGTGTATCTAAATAACACCGAAAAAATTCAAGGGGCGATTCTCCGATGAAAATTAATAGGGGTCTTTGGTATAAAATTTTTTGAAAAAACCCTCCCCTGAAAAGTTACGCCCCTCCTAAAATTACAAAAAAAAATTGTTTTTCTTTTTTATCTTCCACGTACATCAAGCTAAAGAAACCAAACTTGGTGAACATTATCTGTCAATAAAACTACACTTTTTGAATTTTTTTCAACCCTGAACTATTTTTGTAAGGGGTTGAAATAATCAACCCCTATGACATTTTTTCTTATAATTTTTTTTTCGATAAAATTTTTTCCTTTTAAAAAATATGTCTAAAAAACCCCATTCATTTACTAACTTTTTGATCTCTTCAAGTTTCTTCGAAAAGTTAAGGATTTATGACAAAAAAAAATAAATGTATTGTAATGTATTTTTAAAAAGATGAGCTGTTTAACGCGAGTGTATTTTGCCGAAAGATCTAGTGGCCTGTTCTTTACAATGGAATCCGTAGAAACAAATGTCAATGTCATTTATTGTTACTGTTTCTTACTATTTCACAAGTTTCATGATTTTGTGTAGAAAATATTAGTTAATAAACCGAAAATATGGTTAACTATTCGAATTTAGAAATGGCAGATATGCATTTTACATATGGGTATGCTAACGGTAATGCATTGGAAGCGCAAAGACTTTATGCTGAACAGTACCCAGAGCGTAGATTACCCCACCATACTACGTTCACAAATATTCACCAACGCTTGCGGGAACTTGGAAAATTTGAAAAGAGAAGTCATGACTGTGGCCGTAGCCGAGAAGTTAGAACTGAAGCTGTCGATGAAGCCGTACTTAATTTAATTGAGGAATCCCCAGAAACTAGTACCAGGAAAATAGCTCGTGTCCTAAATGTAAGCCATTCGGTAGTTTTTAGAATTTTAAAAGAACAACAGTTATATCCCTATCATCTCCAACGGGTGCAGTCGTTACTGATTCGAGATTTTTTACCACGTGTGGTTTTTTGTCAATGGCTTATTAATATGATCGGCCAAGCGCCGCAGTTCTTAAGAAATATTTTATTTACTGACGAGGCGAATTTCTCAAGAGACTGTATTAGAAATTTTCGTAACAATCATATTTGGGCTGAGGAAAATCCTCATGACTTTTTTGAAGGAAATCATCAGTATCAATTTTCATTAAATGTGTGGCTCGGAATTATCGACGATCATTTAATTGGTCCCTATTTTCTTCCACGACGATTAGATGGTGACTCATATTGTCATCTTCTCGAAGAATTACCTATTATTCTTGAAGAAGTTCCCATTCAAATTAGGCAACGTTTATGGTTTATGCACGACGGTGCACCAGCCCACTTTAGTATACGTGCAAGACGTCACTTGGATGAGGTGTATGCCAATCGATGGATAGGTCGAGGAGGATATGTAAATTGGCCAGCCCGCTCCCCTGACCTTAATCCTTTGGATTTTTGCATATGGGGATATCTGAAATCTTTGATCTACTCAAGGCCAGTTGAAGATATCAATGATTTGCGAAACCGCATTGTAGCAGGGTGTGAAACGATAAAAAATTCACCAGGAATATTTGAACGCATACGCAATTCTATGAGAACAAGAGTAGATGCTTGTATTGAAGCTGAAGGCAATCATTTTCAACATTTTTTGTAGATTGTATTGTCAATATCCGACAGATTTTTATTTTTTGTTACTGTTATAACATTATTCATCATTTGTTCACTTTTAGTCTAAGTTCCAAACTTCTTAGCCTAGTAGAATCATAGGTCAACTATTTGGTTGAGTGTTTTTTAATAAAATGTTATTTAATATGACAATAAATGACATTGACATTTGTTTCTACGGATTCCATTGTAAAGAACAGGCCACTAGATCTTTCGGCAAAATACACTCGCGTTAAACAGCTCATCTTTTTAAAAATACATTACAATACATTTATTTTTTTTTGTCATAAATCCTTAACTTTTCGAAGAAACTTGAAGAGATCAAAAAGTTAGTAAATGAATGGGGTTTTTTAGACATATTTTTTAAAAGGAAAAAATTTTATCGAAAAAAAAATTATAAGAAAAAATGTCATAGGGGTTGATTATTTCAACCCCTTACAAAAATAGTTCAGTGTTGAAAAAAATTCAAAAAGTGTAGTTTTATTGACAGATAATGTTCACCAAGTTTGGTTTCTTTAGCTTGATGTACGTGGAAGATAAAAAAGAAAAACAATTTTTTTTTGTAATTTTAGGAGGGGCGTAACTTTTCAGGGACGGGTTTTTTCAAAAAATTTTATATCAAAGACCAAAGATTAATTTTCATCGGAGAATCGCCCCTTGAATTTTTTCGGTGTTATTTAGATACACCCTGTATAACAAATATAATATAATATATAATACCAATAAAAATATATGTACATAATAATAATATTGTATCTAGAAAGATAGGAAAAAAAAATTAAAAATTTGCCTACGGCGATTGATATTTTTGAATATAGGAAATACATGTTTCAATAAATTGTTCTGTGGATTTACGAATGTATGTGAAAATCTGTATGTATAATATGAAGTATGTTCCTTTTAGACATTTTCGAGTCGTTTGTTAATTTTAATTTTGTTTAATTTCAACTCAGCAGCTATGTAATTGTAACTGTGGTATTTTTTAAGGTCCACAGAGCTGTTGTATATTGTCTGTTTTTTAATTAACTTAGGAAACAAATGAAGTTGGATTCGTGATAACACATAATTTCGCAAAACTGTGCGTGACAGTATAAACTTTTCCAATTTAAAATGTTAATAGAGGGCAGTGTAAAACTACTTCCGTGACTCAAAAAAGTAATTTAATTGTGTTTCTTCACTACCATAAAATAATTTAGATGAAATACGATCCAACGTTAATAATAATTGGTGATCTGATGGTTGGTAACAATAATATTAAATATTTTAGGTAGAAATAAAAGGTCGTAAAAATCGGTTATCTTTTATTTTATAGTTACTGCTATTATATATGAATTTTAAGTAACTATTTAATATTGGCTAGATGTTGTAAATATTATATACGAGGTCTGTTCAAAAAATAACAGAACTTAATTTTTTTAAACTGTATTATTAATTATATACATTATTGGTCCTAGTTTCATTTAAAGTATTCTCCTCCCCTATACAAACACTTTTTGTAGCGGTGATTTCATTTCCAAGCTTCATTTGCAATGGCATTTAAAATCTGTGACGAATTTGCTTTGATGTCGTCAATAGTCTGTAAACGGCGTCCTTTTAGCACTTATTTTAATTTCGGAAATAAGAAAAAATGCCAAAGGGCTAGGTCTGGCAAGTAAGAACCATGAGTTGTCTCGCTCCAATTATGTCCTCTTTTGCGGATTTTTTCACGAACCGTTTTAAAATGCCTTGATAGACACGGTTCACAATTTCACGTTGAGGCAAGAATTCAAAATTCATATTTCGACTTAACCCATATTTTGGCCATAAAAAAAACAAAACAAAAACAAGGATCTTGAGTCAACTTGACCTTCAAATGACCTTGACAAGGTCAAAATCAAAATTTCTTCAGCAAATCATAAAAATCTCCAGAAATCTGAAGAAATTCTTCATTTCACCGAAAACAAGCATCCCAAAGGGAATAGAAAACTACTAGGTCCATTTCGTTATTCCTGGGTAGTGCTAAAAGTAATAATTATACAGTTTTTTGGACCTGGAAATGACCTGGAAGTTCATATCTTATTTTAAAACTTCCCGCTCTCGTAATTTCCAAGGTCAAAACAGGGTTCCATTTAAAATTTATTTTGAATTTGGTGTTCAAACGACCTTGAAGTCAAGGTCAAGGCCATTTTCAAGGTCATGTCAAGATAGCCTCCATTTCACCCTACAACTTTTGTATGAAACATTTTTTTTAACTGACCACAAGGTACTCTGTTGTCTCGAGTTCCTTGTTTTTTTTTTTTTGTTTTTATGGCCATTTTGTGGCCAAAATATGGGTTAAATCGGAAAAAATAATAAGAACAAAAATAATTATTTTCGTTTTTCAATCGAAATCTGTGGTAAAAAGTGAATTGTTCCATCTAAAAAAATCTTTCCGGTCTAAAAACACCACTTCCGGTGTAAACCGGAGGTCGTATTATGGACCTTTCAATGGCTCCCTCATTGCCCTACAATTTTTGTCTGAAAGTTTTTTCGAAATAATCGAGTCCAACCGAGATATTATTTATTGTGGTACTATAGATATATTCTTTCTCCTAAAACTAAGACAAATATTTCTTTAAAATATAATGTCCATAGTTTTAGCCATTTTCGAGATATTTGCATTTAAATAACACGAACAACTTTTTATCTCATTATGCAATTTTCATGAAGTGAGCTCTGAATGGGCTGAAGTAGATAAAAGCTATCTAATTTGAACAAGTTAAGAACTAAAATATTGCAAGTTATTACAGTTTTGCCATTCATTTTGTATTAATACGTCTACCAACAACTTTTGTCTTATATTCATAATTATATAAACAATCATTTTACTTATCGTCCGATAGGCGATGAATATGCTATGACCATCACGTTCTCCGACCTGAGTCTGCTTGATTTCTATTTCTAATGTACATCTAACTACTGAATAAAGATCTATTCCTAAAAATTTGTTAAATTTGCGTCTACTATTTATTTGTATTATTATATTTTAAAAGTTAGTACAAAAAGAAAATCAAAACTTTAAAAAATATTTAACACAATCTCATTTTTAACATATATTTCTTTGTTATAGGTGGCAACAAAATTGGAATTGATTAGAAATTAGGTAAGTGACGAATGCATTTTTTATACTATATTTTCGAGTAAATTGTCTGTGGCTCATAGCTCCCACTCGATAACCTTACAAAGAATTCGACGACACTTAAGGAAAGGTATTTCAGAATGATATTTGGACTGTATGAATGTTTTAAAAACAGTTTAATTGTGTTAAGAATTTATTACTTTATACTAGTTAAAAAAGATAAGAAAAAAGAAATGGAATGTGACTTTCCCATTCCTTTTCTACGACTAATTTATTAAGAAACATAAAATCCTTGGTTTCCTCAATAATTGAGTAGCCAAGGGACAATCATTGATGAAAAAAATTGTAGGAATTTATTCATAAACTATTTATTCTTAAACCACATTAACATTTATTAACATTTTACTGCACAAACAGAGACACCTAATATTTGAATATAAACACGAAGGAAAAGGAAATAAAGTGAGCAAGGAGAATATTGAGAGCATAAGGTGAAACGAAATCAGTGCTAAGCTCAAGTGTTGTCGACGCGCATGAATAACATTTTTTTCCCAAATTGAATTTTATTGGAGCCTACAAATTATCGATTTGAAATTATTAGCCCACTATATTGGTTCTTTCATCCCATTTTGTCAGAAGTATGAAAGGAAAACTCAATTTATAGGCGGAAAATTTAGTATCAAGATCCTTATCTCCCAGTCATTCTTGTATAAAGCTTTATCCTAACAAATTATCGGTTTTATGAACATTTAATGGATTTACATGTTTGTCGTTCGCAAATATTTTTTCCACGATGTATTTATTGCCCATATTAATTTTATTCTGTAAAAGTTAACTCGAACATAGATAATATTACGAAAAATTCTTATAATATAATTTTGGAACTATGGCCAAAATGCCAACAAAAAGAGGAACATCGAATTATTAAAGCAGATATTTTAAATGCCTCTCGTCTGCCTATGAGAGTATTTATAAAAAAATTTCTTTTTCATTTACGTTGTAATTGTATTTTACCAAATTTCTGTTGTTTGCTGGTCTATTGTTAATTGCTATTGGTAAAAAGTGATTAACAGCAAGGCGTCGATTTCCAATTTTTTCATGAAATTAACAAAATTGTACAAGTTACATTACTCTAAGACGTTTGGAAAAACTGCCAGATCGTTTATGAACCTGCCTAAGACTCATTTGATGAAGCCTAGAAATTTCGTAAATTTATTTTCATTTAAATTTACAATGCAATTCAGTGGTATCCTATCGATTATTGTCACAGATTTTTTACAAGCTTTTTAATTTTTGATTATAACTAACAAATAAAAATGTTTATAATTTCGGTGACACCTATAGTCAGTACAGTTAGCTTTGTTTTTAAATGATACACTTTATTTACTTCGATTTTTTCACTTAAAATCCATTGGCGTACTAGATCTTTAAAAACTGTAACAGATTTACTGAAAATCTTTCATAACCCTGGTAATATGTATAGGTATCCTTTATAGGAACAACTTTTAATTGTCCTATGCATATATCTTTATTATTTTAAGAGTTACATAAAAGGTTAAATGGGCAAAAAGAAATTCTATGGCGATCACAGTTTCGTTTTTAAATTTAGAAAATTCCGAATAGTTCCTAAGATATTCGAAGAAAACCGATTTTTTGCCATTTCTTTTTTAGTCGTATTTCACATGTTTTTTTAAATTTTCGGACAAATATGTGTATTAACTTTTGTTTTTCTTTTTGACATAACAATAACAAAAGCAACAAACAAAACGGCATAGACAAAGCAATAACTGATAAATTTCAATTTTATCACAAATGTTTGAAGTACCATTACTTGGTGGTCTAGTTACTTGGTCGCAGAGAAACCCTGATTTGTCTGTCATGAACTTTTTCTTTTAAAGTTATGTTGAGGATCAGCTATACACAACACAAGGCAAATCGACAATAAGGAATAATTGAAACAAAATGTTTCAAGAGCGATAAACTCAATACCTCCTGACATGATTATGAACGAGTGCAGAAATTTATAAATAGTCATGGTATGCACTTCGAACATTTGCGATAAAATTTAAATGTACTATTTATTGCTTTGCTATTTTGTTTTATTCGTTGCTTTTGTTATTGTTATGTAAATTAAAGTTACTGTGTTAAAAAGTATTAAAGATAAGAAATATTAAATTAATTTATACAAAAAATTAAAATGGCTTCTTGATGTTTTTTTTATTAAAATTACAATTATTATTCAATGTGATATTCAATATATTTGTTATTTATTTATGAAAACCCCATAAATTATACTTACATCGTTGTAAATAGAATTTCCTCTTTCTTCTAATGAGGAAAAAATTCAATATGGCGTCCATAAGAAAAACAAAAGTTAACTACCGCTCAGCACACAATTTTAGAGATACGTCAATACTGACAGTAAAAATCGCTTCCTCACATCATTTAACACCAGAGTACACAATTTTGTCCAAAAATTTTGAAAAACAAGTCAAATACGACTAAAAAGAAAAAGCATAAAATCGGTTTTCTCCAAATGTCTTCTGAACTATTCGGAATTTTCTAAATTTAAAGATGATCGATCCGCGATCGCCATAAAATTCTGCACATTTTTGCCCATTTAACCGTTTCTGTAACTCTTAAAATAACAAAGTTACCTCTATAAGACAATTAAAAAGTTGTAACCCTGCGTTTCAAATTTAAATTCTAAAAGTTATTTCTGGCATACTAAATTCTAGCATCATTATATAGGTTGTTACAAAATAGTATATCAAGACGATAGCTACAAATTCTTAAAATAACAGGACTAGGAATACTGAGACAAACATAAGGAATTAGTATTAAAAATTAAATATTAAGTTCTTTTTACCAACTCCACAATTATATTTGGGACCTTTTAGTGAAAGAGAACCGAATTTGTGGAATCTTTATACCTTTAATCTTCTCCAAAGTATTGTCAAATTGAAAAAGAATATTTTGTGCCAAGATCAAAAAAGTAATATGTTTTAATCGAACAACGCTCGTCTGAATGTTGTATATTGTGCAGGCACATATTCGAATCAGTGTCATCTAAGAACATTTTTGTAAAGTTTTAAGATATGATATTTTAGGAATATGAGGAAATTAAACAACAGCATGTGGGTCAATATCACATATCCAAAGAAAAGGCATTGTTTAGCAGTTGTATTTTTGACACCTAATGTCAGGAAAGTAGTGCTATTTTTGCTCAAAGAATCTATGGTTAACGGTTTGACCTACTTTTTTTTTAACACTGTAAATATTTTTACTTACCAAAGTTACCTTTTTTACAACAGCTCGACAGCTTTTAATAGTTTGCCATAACTTCAAAGAATTATTACCAGGAAAAGGATGTACGCATAGAGTTCTCCCATACAGCAAATCTTTATTAGCAATAATTCAAATAAGTTATCCATTTTCATCAGCAATAATAGAAAATAGCAATCTACTCACAATTCTGTCGGCTGAATGGTTATGAAGTAGAGTCGTGACATATTTATTAAAAAATACTAAACAATTCAATTATTTTTTATTTCGTCGATAAAATTTACTTTGTATTTCGTAGAAGTAATGTTGTGATTGATTAGTTCACAAATTTCCTGTTTTCATGATTACTTCATCATGTCATTCATAAACTGATAACAAATTAAGATAGTATAAGCCTGGTCAAGATCAACTTTCCAATATTCTGTTAGTAAAACACTATAAACAAATACTTTTTATATCCTATGTTGATTGTACCACAAAGATTATTTTGAAGGCACATCTATTCCGGAATAAATAAAATGAATGAAACAGAATCAAATCTTTCACTGAATTGTCAGAGTTAGCTGATGTTCTTGTGAACTAATTTTTCTTTATGACAGACCGATTTATCAAATTAATGATAATGTCTATCAGTGTCTACGTTTCTTCGAATCGCTGTATGATTCTAAAGCCGGTTCCAGATGACGCCATCATATAGTGTGGACGCTACATATTGTACATACTCTAAAGCATGTTTTCACTTGCCCAATTTCACTATTATATTTATATCCGAGGAGATATTTGTCATGTGCTAATATTTCACAACGTATATTGACGCTATGGATTTTGACCAAGTAATCTACAAATATTTGACACATCTATATTTGACCACCGTTTGGCGTGTGACCGCAGCTTCCGGAGAGGATATAATCTTTATTTTATTATATGCTTACCAAAATATAGGAAAATAAAAATACATAGGTACCAAATATAATTAAAAAAACAGCAATTAATTCAATTTTCATTAAGACTCGGTTAACCAATTGAGCAATTAAATTGGATGTATAATTTAAGTAATATCATTTGGATAATAAACTATTCATTCATTACAATGCAAAATCATACCTCACACTACGCATGCACAGTAATGTTGCTGGTGCACTCTACATGCTCCCTTGGCTATATTCGTGGTTGAGCATTACCTAAGTAGTGCAGTAATATTTAATTTTAGGAAATAAATCAATTTCCGCAATTATATCAATTCGCAATAGATTTTCAGTGTTAAAAAATTTCGAAAAATATACTAAATATAATACATAACAGTAATGAATTGATATTTTCAAAAAAGCAAAGCTTGCTACTAATTTCAAGCAAAAATTTTCCCTCTATGTAGAATCAATCCTCCAAATGTCAAGACATAATTTTTATATAGTATTAATCTATTTAATTATATCATTTGTATTTTCTTACTTGAAACCATAGAAGATATTAAAATTTCACAAAAGATAAAAAAGTTACTATTACAGAAAATAATGTAAATTATGTAACCACTGTACGTACAAAATAGTTATGAGACTAAGACGAGCATGGAAACTACGAAAAAGTAGCATGTTATTCTCTTATAGGCTACAAGCCCAATGGAAATTTTCAAGAGGTCATCTGTCCCAGCATGAATTACTTATAAATCAATACTACCACATACAACAATAACTTTAGAAACTATGCCCTCAATTCTTGTTGATACAGGTGAGTACACAGGT